TTTATAACCCAGAATAAGGTTTTGATATGTGGTCTGTGGCCTTTTGAAAAGAATGCATATTCTGCTACTGTTGGGTGTTCAATAAATATTTATTAGATATTGTAGGCTGATGGGTATTGTTGAGTTTTCCTATATCCCTGTTGATTTTCTAACTAGTTATTCCACAAATTCAGAGAGGGGTGTTTATGTCCCCAACTATAATTGTGGATTTGTCTATTCACCCTTTCAGTTAATCAGTTTTGCTTCACATATTTTGCAGCTGTTGTTTGGTGCATGTATATATTTAGTATTACTATGTCTTCTTGATGGGTTGTCTCTTTTATCATTACATAATGAACTTCTCTGTCTCTGGTTATTTCCTTTGTCTAATCTATTTTATCTGATGCTAATAGTCACTTCCACTTTTTTGATGAATGTGTGCACATATATCTTTCTCTATCTCTCTATTCTTTTACACAGCTGACTACAGAGATATATTTCGAGCTTCTTGTAAACAGCATATAGTTAGGTTGTGTTGGTTTTTTTTTAACTATTCTGCAATCTCTTGTCTCTTGTTATATTTAATGTAATTGTTAATACGTTAGGGTTTAAGTCTGCTGGGGTTGTTTGTCCTCTCTTTTTCATTTGTTTTCTGCTTTCCTGTGGACTGCATGAACATTCTTTAGAATTTCATTTTAATATATCTATAATACTTTTAAGAGTATCTATTTGTATACTTTTTTTAGTTATTGCTCTAGGTACTCCATTTTATATACATTACTTATTACAGCCTATTACAGGTGTCATCATTTCAGTAGTTGGAGTGAAGTACCGAAACTTTACCTCCCTTTATGTCCCTTTACCTTTACTGTTTATAACTGCCTAAAATGTTTTTTCAATATTCTTGTAGAACTGCATCAGAGTTATACCTTGTTTCAAGCATCAAACACAATTTAGAAAACTCAAAGGGAAGGAAAGCTTCCTTTATTCACCCAAATTTATATTTACCACACTCTTTCTTCCCTCCTGGTGTTACTAGGTTCTTTATTATTTCTCTTCTGTTTAGAGAAATTCCTTCAGTTATTCTTTCAGGGTAGGTCTGCTAATGACTTTGTTTTCTTTAATATGAGAATGTCTTAATTTCCCATTCACATCTTTTCTCCAGGTATTGGATTCTGGGTGACAGTTCTTTTTATCACTTTGAAAATACTATGCCATTCCCTTTGGACCTCCATGGTTTCTGATGACAAACTGATAACATTCTAATTGTTTTCCTTTGCTTTCAGATTTTGTTCTGTCTTTAGTTTTTAGAAGTTTAATTATGATGTTTCTTAATATGGATTTCTTTGGGTTTATCCTACTGGGAGTTTGATCAGCTTCTTGAATCTGTAGGTATATGTCTCTTGCCAAATTTGGTAAGTTTTTAGGCTTTCACTTCTTTGAATATTTTTTCAGCTCCTCCCTTCTTCTCCTGAGACTCTGATGACACCAACACATCTTTTGTCATAGTACCACAGGCTTCTGAGACTTTATTCACATTTTTTTCTTTTCTTAGTCTATTTCTTTTATATTATTCAGATTGGGTATTTCTGTTGTTCTATCTTCCAATTCACTGATTCTTTCCTGTCTCCTCCATTCTGCTGTTGAGACCATTTGCTGAGCTTTTTATAAGAGTTATTGTATTTTTCTGATCTAAAATTTCCATTATCTTCTGTTTCTAAGACCTTCAATTTCTCTGCTGAGTCTATTTTGCATGTCTTCAATTGCTCACTGATCCATTATTTTAAAAATCTTTTAAAAATCTTTGTCTAAGAATTCTCATATGTTATCTTAGTGTTAGCATCTACTGATTTGTCTTTTAAAATTCAGTTTGCAATGAATCATTGAACACTACATAAAAAATTAATGGTGTACTATATGTTGGCTAACTTAATAAAAAATTTTTTTAAATAAAATGCTAATATAGTCAAAGAAAATAAAATTCAGTTTGAGATCTTCAGGTTCTTGATATGATGAGTGATTTTCATGTAATCTTGGACTTTTTGTATGTTATGAAACTCTGGACCTTAAACCATCTGTTTTAGCTGGATTTTTTTTTAACACTGTTCCAACAGAGGAAGGAGAGGGGGATTTCCCTATTGTCCCCCACTATTAACTCCACTTAGCCTCTATTGATACCTAGGGGGGAGACAGTTCCTCATTACTGATGACAAGGAGTGAGAGTCTGGTTCCTCACTTCTTTTCCAGTGATACCACAGTGGGTGTAGACCCAATACCACTAAGTGATGGTAAGTCTCAACCCTACTTTAGGCTTCCTCTGATACCACTCTAGTGGACAGTAGATGGCATCTTGTTATGCCAGATTGGGGCAGAAATCCAGGCTCCCTATGTGGTCTCCATTAAAACCTGATGGTAAGAGAGAGGGCTCATGACCAGACAGCACAGAAACCCTGGCTTCCATTTGGTATTCTTGACCACCACCCAGCTGGGGCACCTAATTTCAGCTTTGCAAGAATACAAGTCTAAGTCCTCCATTCAGCTTGATTGTGAGTGGGGCCACATTTTTTTTGTTTGTGGTGTCTGACTGGTGCAGAGTAGTTACTGAGTTTCTTGTCTTGCCAGGCTGCCTATTTTCTGGTCTTTGGTTAGAGCAGAGGTCTCTTTTTTTCTTTCTTTTCTTTTTTTTTTTTTTTTTTTTTTTTTTTTTTGTCTGTATTTATTCATGTTTCCAGGTTGCTGGTTTCTTCAGCATCAAGTCGGGGATATACAAGGCAAAAAGAAAACCCAGGCAGCTCACCATACGTCATTCCTCATGTCTCATGTCTCCTTCTTCTCTCCACCTTTCAGAGTTCCTCATGTTTGTTTTACATAAAAAGTCTGAGGTTTGCAGTTGTACTTAGTGAAAGGAATAGGGGAACGTATATATATCCAGAGATTCTACTTTATGAATTTTTTTAAAGTAGGCTCCACACCCAGCATAGAGCCAGACATGGGGCTTGAACTCATGGCCCTCAGATCAAGACCTAAGCTGAGATCAAGGGTTGGATCCTTAATGGACTGAGCAACCCAGGCACCCCCCAGAGGTTTTATTTTAAATCCTTTTTGATTGCTAATGACTGTACTTGAGAACATAAATGTATTTCTAAGTATTACTTTAGCTTTTTCCCACAAGTTTGATATTTGGTGTTTTACTATTGTTTGATTCTAAATGCTTTATAGTTTTTCTTATGATTTCTTCTTTGTCCCATGAATCGACATAAGTGTGCCTTAAAATTTCCAAATGGATTCTTTTTTTTATGTTTTTGTTACAGATTTCTAATTTTGTTGACTTGTATTTTGATCAGAAAACTAAGTCTGTATGCCGTTGCTTCTTTGTTATATGGCAGGACTTCTTTTATTGTCTAGTATTTGGTCAGTTTCTATTGTATAAATGTTCCTTGTGTGTATTAAGAAAATATATGTTATTTAATGGTTGGCATAACCCTATGATTATTACTTATTAGGAAAGACTTTTTTCATCTATTCAATGGCTAGATACATATGACGGGGCATGGATTTTTTTTTTTTTTTTTCTAGTCCATTCTTTTTGAGAGTCTTGGCTTGTGGTAAAGGGATTGGTCTCCGTCTCAACTACCATCTATAGCAGCCCAAGTTCTCTGTTTGTCTAAGACCTAAGCCCCTAGATTGTCTAAAACCTAGCCCTTTAGCTTGTCTAAAGCCTAAAACAAACCCCTTAGCTTGTCTAAAACCTAAGCCCTTAGATTCTGGAGTACTGCCCTTTCCCCCTACACCACCACACACCAATACCAACTGTTCAAGAGTTCCGGGTTTCAGTTTCTGATTTGCTTCTGGAACAAAGGGCTGGCCCTCTCTTTCTCATGGGTTCAATGACACGTTTAAAACTATGCTCCTCTTCTGCCTTTCCCAACTAACATGCCAGGGAAGAAGGCAATTAGGACATTGACTCCCCTTATTTGGGGTTGGGAGTGACAGAAAGGCACAAAGCAAAGATGAAAGAAGTAGAAGAGAGTGACCAGATAGTGTGGATCAGATGGATGCCTCCATGGGTGACTGATTACCAGGTAGGCCAGAGGTAGAAATCACTTTTCTGGAGTAGTGCTTCCCAGGAGTCACCAGAGACTTGTTCCTACATGCAGCTTCCCTCCAGGATCCTTCCCTGGCAATCATGAATTTAGTAGTCTAGGGTAGCGCTCTGAGGACTATTTTCTCCTAGAGCCTCAGGTGACTTTCATGGAAAAAAAAAAAAGTTTAGAATGCAATGCTCTAGAACTCTGTATGACTCCCAGGACCCACTTCTCTGGGTCTGGGATCTTGGAATCTGGTTTTTGGCAGGTGCCACAGGAGATATGCCACTAAAAAAATAACAAAACAAAAATTAAGAGTATAGATTAAAACAAAAGCCTTAGACTAGTATATAGGTGTAAGAAAAAAGTATGTCAGAGATAATACTGTGTTCTTAGAAACTGTAAAAGTTCATTTATTCATTGAGCAAACACTTTTTGAGACCTTTTATGTCCCAGATATTTCTAGACACTAGAAATTCTGAAATAAAATATAGACCTGAATTTCAAAAAAAGTGTACATAAGTACTGTATACAGAATTACAGATAGGGTTGCCAAGCAAAATACAAGATGCCCAGTTAAATCTGAATTTCAGATAACCAATGAATAATTTTTTAATATATATGTGTCTTAATTTTTTTCCCTAAATCTGGCAACCCTAAATATAGGAATATTTAGGAAAAGCTCCCAAGCCAGTTTAGGAGATAAGGGCTGCAAACTTCAGTCAAATGTCAAAAGGGCTTTGATACAAACTGATTAAAATTAGCAGGCCATGAAGACTGATGCTAAAAGCAGGTAGGACTCAAACTATACCATGTTATTCCTAGGTGAAAAAGGTAAGCTGTGTTCATTGTCCCCCCAAACAGCTACTAAATATCTCAGAATCTCCTTATAACATACTCAACATAATTAATACTTTTAGTACCACAAGGACTTACAGAACACAGGTTTGTGGGCAAGGTCATCTAAAGTAATTCCTCCTTCAGGACTGTATTCAAAACTGCTCGTGAAGTTGTATTTTGCAGTTCCTTCTGGAGAAACCGTAACTTTTGCAGAGTCTCCCAAAACCACTTGATTGAATTCTGCACGAATAAAAGTAACTGGAGTATCTCCTTTAAAACCTTTCTGTTGACAGAAAGAGACTTTACAATTATACTCAGAGAATTTTCCTACACATCTGGCAAATCATTTTGATTTGAACTAAATAGCATTTTCCATGTTTTCCTAACAAGCTATATCACAAATAAAAAAGGGGTAGGTAGAAAGTCATTAAACAAAACTAGTTGTAGCTAACTGTAACATTCTATTTAAATGCTATTATGTTGGAAGTTTTTAAAAATAACTTTTATGTTTATATGATTATAAAAGTATATTGTGAAACATTGTAAATAGTGAGAAAAGCACACAGGAAAACAAATTACCTATAATCTCACTCTAACATGCAAGCACCAGTAACATTTTAGAATATATTTTCTAGTCTTTCCTATGAATATATGTGTGTGTAAAAATACATACACACACACACACTTATAGATACATCTCTCAAATAACCTTTTAAAACAAAGTAGAGATCATTCATTACATTCTGTTTTGGAATGAGCTATTTTACTTCATAATAGTGAATGAATACTTTGCCATTTCATTATTCTTGTAATTTTTAAGCTACATTATATTGTAGTTTTATTATTTAAATTAACCAAGTGAAATTAATCACAAGAGACACTCTGGAAGAATTCAGATCTTTTTCAGAAGAAAAGACCTGCTGTCTAAAAAACAAAAATCACTTCTTGTTTCACCCATTAAATGTGGTACTCAAATTCCCAGGTATTTTACACACACAGTGATGTGACCTGCTGATTATATAGTCTAACAAAAAGGAAAAACTGAGAAAGAAATGCCATTGCAATGTTAAGACCAGCAGGTCTGGTGTTAAAGGAGGGTGCAAAAGCATTCTTCCTGCTGGTCCTTCCAATACATCTTCAGGTAACCTGCAGACAGATGTTTGACAGAGAAACCTGAACTCAAAGGCAAATATACTTTCAAGAAGAATGAATAAAGTAAGAACTTCTCTAATTTCCAAAAATAACTTTACCAAGTCATATCCATCTGTCACAGTGATCTGCACAGGTCTGTCTGTTGATGACAACTGTTCCATAGTGGCACTTGGGAAAAGTCCCTCTGGTCTTCTTTGGTCTCTGTAAACATAATGAATCAAGCCGTCCCCTCAAGTACCATAGCTGCAGAAGTACCCACATTACAATACATAACCAATACTAGGGGAGAACCTAGGAAAATGCCATAGCTAGTCCAGCATCGTCCAGCACTTTTTTTTGTACCCTTTCCAAACTTTGCTGCTAAATAGTGCTTTACAGAGCTGGTCACAAGAAGGATTCCATCAGTTAGTGCTAACATGATCTTTACATGTATAATTAATCCGTCAAGCACAAATCATTCCAAGAAAAAGAGGGTAGGAATGCCATCTCCCTTACTTCCCAACCCCAGCCTCCATCTTTCATGGTATTCTTTGATAGACTTCTTTTTTTAATGTACAAAGCATTCCCCTCAAAGGTTAATCTCTCACTTTTACAAAAATATAACAGGAAAGAAACAACCACAAAGAATAATGGTTAGTCCACCAGCAAAAGTTCTGACATATATCTTTAGTCAGAGATATTGTCTAATTATTTTACAACACTAATGACACAATTTCAACAATAAATTGGATATATTTAAGAAAGATTTTCTGCCTCAATTCAAAATGGAACTTAAGGCAATTCAAACGTTTACTGAGAACACACTATGTTACATCTATCTAGGACTGGTGGTATAAAAAAGAAGGCAATACTTGGCTGTCCCCAGGCTTTATTCTGCCTCTTCTCAGGTACTCCCTCTTATATCCAAATATCTCAGATCACTGTACAACACCCTGTCTCCAGGCTCATTCTGGGCCTCAGTGACCCAGACAATTATTTTTTTTATCAAATTCACATTAGAAATGATCTTTTACATTACTCTCCTTTCCTTTTCAATACTACCACATGAATTGGACCATCACTAGCCTGACCCTGGACAAAAGTCTAATTTCTATGAGCCTCAGTTTGACCTTCTGTAATAAAGATAATATAAACTTCTCATGTTTCACATTTAGTGTGAATATCCACTAAAATAGTAAAACTGCTTAACCTATGATGTAGGGCACATATGGCGTTATTAATGAGCACTGCTTTTCCTGAATGCACAATTTCTCCAGGACAAGTAATCTCTCACTCACATTTACAGTCCCTGAGTGCCCGGCACTAACCCTTGTCTTAGCAGCATATTTACTGTGTAATGAATGCAAGAAATCTGGCTGGTTACTAACGGTCAGGGCAGTCAGGCTCGGGGTGGGGGAGGGGCGGCGGCTCTTGTTGCCCCCAAGAGGCATTCATTTCTTGCCACGTTACTCCTAAAAAAATGCAAGGGAGGGGCACCTAGCTGGTTCAGCTGGTGGAGCATCAGACTGTTGCTTTCCGGGTTGTGAGTTCGAGACCCACGTTGAGTGCATAGATTAAAAACAAAATTTTAAAAAAGAAAATGCAAGAGAACAGTCACATCAGATATAGGTTTGATGAAGGACAGGATGGACAGCGTGTCATCTGGGGACAGAGGTGCAGTGTGGACCTACTGCGTAGTATCTGGGGCAAAGCGGAAAGGGGGTTTAAGCCCGGCTTCAATTAGGCGGCCTGAGAGGTTGGCAGGAGCTTCCGCGCCTAGCCAGGTCGGGGGCGTTTAGGTCCGTACCAGAGTGCCCTGTGTTCGGAGGCGGCCTTGCGTTTCCAACCGGCTGCAGCTGAAGAGAAGAGACTGAGGGAACCGGGTGTGGTCGCAGGACCACCGTAGAGAGGCCGGAAGCAGAGGGCTTTCTGGGGAGTGATACAGCTCTCTGACCTGAGGCCGCCGCAAAAGTGTTATGCGCAACTATGGCAACTAATTACCTCTCGCGAGAATTTAGTTCCGGCAATAACCACAAGTTTATCCCAAGACTCGCGATAAAGTTTTCGGGGAGGGCAACGGCTGTTGGGAGGTTTCTGCGCCTGCGCTCTGGAAACGGAGCGCTGGAGTGGCAGCCTCCCTGCCTGAGTCATTTCGTCCACAGGTACAACTTTGCCTTGGCATAAGCCTAAAGTTTTCCAACTTTCGATTTTATTTTCTTGACCCTTTTCTTTCAGTATCCCTACGTAAATAGGGATTTTTGAAAACCGGTTTTGAAAACCGGTCATTTAAATCTTTCCATGAAAAAGGCAGGTTAACAGTATTTTCAGTGATCCTCTATGCTAAATGAAATAAGTCAAAGATAAATACCCTATGATTTCAGTCATATATGGAATTTAAGAAACGTAAAAGATGAACATAGGGGATTAAACAAAAGCAAACCATAAAACAGACTCTTAACTGTAGAAGAACACACTGAAGGTTGCTGGATGGGAGTGGGGCGGGGAGGTGGAGGAGAGGTAGGTTATGGTGATGGGTATTAAGAAGTACACATTTTAGATTGAGCACTGCATGTTCTATGCAAGTGATTAATCACTAATCCTACACCTGACACTAACATTACACTGTTAACTGGAATTTAAATAAAAACTTGGAAGAAAAAAAAATTTAAAAATTTAAAAGTGAGCGTCTGATATACTGTTGGTGAGGTTGCAAAACAGTCCTACTTCTAGTGCTCAATACTTACACAACATACAATAAACAGACTTGAAGTATATGATATTAATCCCAAATTTTAATACATTTCAAACTCAACAGTAGAGTTCTGGAACAGTAAAATACAGTAGCAAAAACATGGAAACAATCCAAGTGCCCCTCAATGGAAAAGTGAATAAGCTGATATATAGTCACAAGTAGCATATTACATAGCAGTCTAAATGAATTAACTACAGCTACTACATGGATGAACTTTAGCAATATACATATCTGCAAATGTTGCAATGTTAAGAGCCAGCTTAAAGAGGTTCCCACTGGCCAAATCAGAGACAATTTGGGCATCAAAATAAACTGATAATGGATTACAATCCATTGAGTAAAATAGGAATCTACAAGTTCACATTGATATAAACAAATGGGGAGAAAGGAAAACTAACAGAATTCCAATCCAATAAGGCAGAGGAAATAATGGGAATAGAGAATTACCATTTGATACCCACTATAGAAGTGGATGATTCAGGTAGGAGTCTCCAGTGGATGCTAAAGTTGGTGGGAGGCGGTTTGATGAGAAGAGGGTATTGGCATGATTTTGGAATACTAATCAGTTACAAAGAAGAAATGGTGAAATGAAGAAACCAACAAGACCATGTAATTAAGGTTAACCACCAGGGTTGGGAGGAGTCTACATTGCATGCCTTCTGTTGAGACTCACTGGGAAAAATAAAGCATCATTTTGTGGTATTCCTACCATCAGAGGGACTAGGCTGTAGGCCACCCTATTCAAAGTATGTGCCGTACTCTTTAAAACTGTCAAAGACATAAAAGATGGGTAACTGTTCAAATTAAAGGACTATTGGACATGAAGGACATGAAGATACCTGACAGCTAAAGGTAAAATATATTCCTGGATAGTATTTTGGTCCAGAAAAGAAGAGAGACACTATTGGGACAGTGAGCAAAATTAGATCTGCCTCAGTGGATTTAATGTTAGTGTACCAAAATTGATTTTCTGATATGGAAGGTTTGCTTTTATGTAGGAGACTGTCCCTGTTCAGCAGAAAATACGCAAGAGTGTTTAGGAATCATGGAACATCACATCTGTAGCTTCCTCTGTCGACCCTCAAAATGTCTAGAAAAAGACTAATAATAAAGAATATATGCATGCACGCGTGCATACACACACAGGGAGCAATTAAGCAATAAAATGTTAACTATAGGAGAACCTAAGTGAAAGTGACATTGAAATTATTTGCACTGTTTTGGCAACTTTTCTGTACACTTACAATTATTTCAATACACACAGACACATACCACTCTCCATGGAAACATCTGAGGATATAAAATTACCAGAGCCAAATTTTAAAAATAAATTTTATTTCTGCTATAAACATTAAAATTATAAAAATTAAGAAAAGATCTCTTAAAGGTTGTGGTGTTATAATAAAAAAAATTAGACCTATGGAACTATTAAGTAAGGCATTTCTCTCTGGATTTCTTCCCAGGTGAGGGCTATGAATGAATTTGCACTGAGCTAGCCATCCTACCCTGTGCATGAAATACTTTATGTAATAAGTGAGGCTTATTGAGTCTTCACTAGGGAACTGGATCACTCATGATACCTAGGCATGAAAGGTAAGTATAGGTGTCACCTCCTTAAACATAATTAATCACTGTCAATAAATAATGATAGTGTAGAGCGCCTGAGGGCAAACCCTTGTGTTCTAGTTCTTTTATTCTCCTGGAATGCTTAACAGTGACCACTCTGAATTTCCTTAGTCCTTACAAGGAAAGGCATTCAAATGTTTTTTTTTTTGACTGGTTTAAAATCTCAACTTCCTAAGGAAACATGGAAAAGACGCTCTTAGTGCTACAGAAAATACAATAGTACTGAGAATCAGAATTTAATAATCTACATATACAAACAAGTTTGGAGGCCAAAAAAGCTGTAATATTTAACTCTTTAGTTTGGGTTTCAAAGACCTCCACTAAATGACTTATATCCCAATAACTCTTTTCTCATTACTCCAAGAGACTCATTTCTAAATAGCTAATATGTTATTTCCAGTCAATTTATTTCTGATAGCATCCAATAATACAATCAAATGTATTGCTCACCCTCAAATTGATTTACAGTCAAAGCAATCAGCATCCCAGATGGATTTTTTTGCAGAAATTGACAAAGCTGATTCTAAAATTCATATGGAAATTCAAGAGAGCCAGAATGGCAAACAATATTGAAAAAGAACATAGTTGGAGGACTCACACTTCCCAATTTCTAACTTACTACAAAGCTACTTTATCAAGTAATTAAGTACCGCTTAATCAAGGCATAAGGATAAATGTATAGACAAATGGAATGGAATTGAGAACTCAGAAATAAAACTTTGTGTTTATGGTCAGTGATTTCTGGCAAGAGTGCTTGGACCACTCAACGTGGGAGAGAATAGTCTTTTCAACAAATGATGGATAACCATATATCCAAATCCAAAAGAAAGAAGTTGGACATCTATCTCACCATATATAAAAATGAACTAAAAATGTCAAAGACCTAAATATAAGAGCTAAAACCATAAAAATATTAGAAGACAACAATATGAGTAAATCATGTTACCCTTTCATTAGACAATGGTTTCTTGGACAGGACAATGAAAGCACAAGTGACCAAAGAAGAAAAAACTGGACTTCATCAAAATTTCAAACTTTTGTGCATCAAAGGACACCATCAAAAACGTAAAAAAGGGGGACCTAGCTGGCTCAGTTGGTAGAGGATGCAACTCTTGATCTTGGGGTTGTGAGTTTGAACCCCATGTTGGGTGTAGAGATTACTTTAAAAAAAAAAAAGTTAAAAAAAGAAAAAGTAAAAAGGCTATCCACAGCACAGGAGAAAAATATTTGTAAATCTATATTGAGTGGATATATAATTTTTGGTGTACTATGTTTTTCTATCTTAAAAAAACTTCTGACGAAGAGACTACCTCCTCCCTGGTAAACCCATTCATTGAGCTGGCAAAAGTTCCAGCAAGGAGCATGGCTTTGATATGCAAACTAACCAATCCAGAGCCATACCTTCTAAATCAGGCCCTCACCCCAGGAGGCAATTTTCCTCTGCCTTCATTATCCCATGGCCAGGTATGAGGACATTAAAAGACCACTCATGTAGCCCAAATGCTACAAAATTACTCAAACTAGCCAATACTTAACTGTTTACCCTGTCCTGCTATGCCTTTCCAGAAACCCCAATAAAGGTCATGGCCTAAGCATTCCCCTCGGCCTCCTGACCACCCTGGTGTCTTTCGCCTATGGCCCTGTGTGTGGCAGTGCCTCTTGTCTCCAGGATGTTTGAATATAATAGTTTTCCTAAGCCTCTCCTCTGTCTCCTCTAGTGGCTGCACCTCAACTGACCATTTCATAAACAGTACAAAATCATGTAAGTGTCTACCCTACAGAATATATAAATAACCCTTACAACTCAACAATAAGGAGACAATCCAATTTTAAAATGGACAAGTATTAAAAAAAATGGACAAAGTATTAGAAGACATTTTTCCAAAGATGATAATCCAAATGTCCAATAAGCACAAGAAAATAGTCATTAGGGAAATGCACATCAATGCCACAAGGGGAGGTCACTTCACATCCACTAGGATGGCTATAATTAAAGAGACAGATAATGATAGTGTTGGGTTAGGATGAAGAGAAACTGGAAGGTGGGTTCACTGCTGGTAGGACTGTAAAACGGTGCAGCTGTCTTGGAAAACATTTTGGCAGATCTCCAAAAAGTTAAACATAAAGGTACTAGTTCTATTTCCACTCCTAGTTCTAAAGCCAAGAGAACTGAAAACACATGTCCACACAAAAACTTGTACATAAATGTTCACAACTGCATTATTCATAAGACTCAAAAGGTGGAAACAACCCAAATGTCCATCAATTGATGCATGGACCCCCCCCCCCAAAAAAAAAGTCCTTACCGTGGATTATTCAGCCATGAAACAGAATGTGTTCTAGTTCTTTAGTATTCTACTAGTATCTCTAGTATTTACCCACACTACAAGCAGATGAACCTTACAAACAGTATGCTAACTGAAAGAACCCAGACACAAAGGGCCACATACTGAATGATTCCATTCATATGAAAAGCCCAAAATAGGCAAATCCACAGAAACAAAGTGAACTGGTGATTGCCAGGGGCTGGACAGGAGGAGAAGGATGAGGAGTGACTACTGGTAGGTCTAAAGTTTCTTTTTGGATGATGAAAATGTTCAAAATTGATTATGGTGATGACTGCACAAATTTGTGAATATGCTAAAAACCACTGAAGTGTACACTTTAAAATGGTGAATGATATATGAATTATATCTCAATTTTCAGAAAGTTTAAAAATATATTGCTCCTATCTTTTCTTTCCTTAATACCTTACACTCCTTCTCGTATTTACCAAATTCCATCACTGTTACTTTTTCAAGATCTACATCAAAACTGAACTTTTTCAATGAAACTATTTCAAAGTAATTAACATCCATCTTAACTCATTGTCCTTCTACCCGGGTATCTTGCCTTCACCACAGCTGTACAGAGAGAGGTCTATCTCCCTTAGAATAAGGCTGTATCTTATACCACCTTATATGCCCCTTGGTATTTACACAAAAACAATATTCATTGAACTACAATTGATATTTACTGTTCTTCTCAATTCTTAGTACACTCACCAATTCTGTATTAAATTTCTGCTTTGTGCTGGGGAGCTTCACACATAGAACTAATAGGGTTCTCATCCTCAACAGAACTTACCTAACATTTACAGGGTTTTTTCTATCTTAATTTTTGTTTAGAATCCCCAGTATATTACAAATCTTCTTTCTTGGTATTTCTCCTGACTACCTATTATAATGTTCAGTATACTCAATAAGTAATTGCATAGTAGTGGGGATAAACCAATGGGTTTTGTAATCATCCTGCTACACCACTGAGTGAGCTCCTGAACTACTCCAAGGAGCTAGGATCCAATTTTCCCAGAGATACTATAAGCTTCATTCACTAATTGAGCACCTCCTATTTGTCAAGCTTCACTTTCTTGAATCATGACTAAATTGTTACTAATTTTTAAAGTCTTTCATAATTTTTTTTTTTTCAAAACCACGGAACAATGAAGATATTCAGGGAGTTTTAGTAGACATAAAGGTAGGCTATATATTTTACACATATAAACATATAATCCCTTTTTAAAAAGTTGCTACAGGCAATACTCATCCTTTTCCTACGTGAAAACTTTAATGCTTATAAATATAGAATACCAATTTATGTAAAATAAGATGCAAATTACTCTTCTAGGTCCAAAGAGCTGAATCTTTAAAAAAGTAATACAGTTTTGACATACTACCAACTATAGTTGTCCAATGGACCTACATGTGCTTTGGAAGGCAGAGTTTTGCAACTTTTTCTTTTATTCAGCTTTATTATGCAGACTTGGAAACTGCTGTGATTTTTTTATTCAATTTGGGATCCTGATTAGGATAAGAACAGTGCAAATTATGCCTTACAACCATTGCATTAGTACTACATCATTGTGATATGGCTTCAAATTGATTGTATACAGAGAAAAAAATAACATTGGAATTAAGGCAGTAACCACATGTGCAAACCAAGCACAATACCCTGACATGGTCCTTAGTAAAAAGCTCTTTTGGTTAGGTGATGGTTGATACTGCTGCATGCAGGTCAATCACTGAAGGATATGCTTCATTTATTTAAAAAAAAAAAAAAAAAAAAAAAAAAAAAAAAATCCCTCCTATTGGCCCACAATGGCCAGAAGAAGCTTTCGGTAATCTCCACTTGTGTCACTCGCAATCATTGTGCCCAGGGTCTTCTGATACATCTGACTGAAGGTCTGTTTTATTTGTACAAGATCAATCTGCATGCAAGAGATATTTTTGATATTAGAAAAAAGCTGTTAAAAGAAAACTGAGATTAGAATTATTCTTTAATAGTGAAAAGAGCCTAATTATAATCAAAGCAGAGGGCAGAAAAAAACACCAAGTGACAAACATTTGGCAACTAGCATTCATACCACTGCTGGCATTACCCAGTGAAGGGTGGATTTGCTATTCTGTAAAAATACTGAAGAAGGGTGGTACCAGTTTCATCTATTATCCTCAAAATACTGGTTATTTAAAAACCATTAAAAAAAGAAACCATTTGATAGGAAGGTTACTCTAAAAAACATAGAAAATAACAACTGTTGGAAAGGGTGTGGAGAAACTGGAACCCTTTTATCCTGCTGGTAGGAATGTAACAATGCAGCCGCTGTAGAAAAAGGTTTGGTGATTCCTCAAAAAAATAAAACAGAGTGCCCGCTTTGGCAGCACATATATTAAAAAATAAAACAGAATTACCATATGATACTTCAGTTCCACTTCCAGGTATATACACAAAAGTGAAAAGCAAGGACTCAAGCAAATATTTGTACACCTGTGTTTACAGGAGCCGAAAGGTGGAAGCAATCCTAGTGTCCACTGACAGATGAGTAAGAGAAGGTGGTCTACACATACAGAGCAGTATTATTCAGACTTAAAAAGTAATTCTGACACATGCTACAACATGGATAAATCCTCAAAATGTTATGCTAAGTGAAAGAAGCCAGTCACAAATGGGTAAATACTGTATGATTTCACCTATACAAGGTACCTAGAGTAGTCAAATTCAGAGGAAGAGAAAGCAGAGGGGCTGCCATGGGCTGGGGAGAAAGGAGAATGGTGAATTATTATATAATGAGTATGGATTTTCAGTTTTACAAGGTAAAAAAGTTGTGGTGGTAATGGCAGTACAACAATGTCAATGTACTTAATTTAAGCCACTGGAAGGCATACTTTAAAGTGGTTAAAATGTGGGACGCCTGGGTGGCTCACTGTGTTAAGCCTCTGCCTTCAGCTCAGGTCATGGTCTCAGGGTCCTGGGATTGAGCCCCATGTCAGGCTCCCTGCTAAGCTCTCTGCTTAGCAGGGAGCCTGCTTGCCCCTCTCTCTCTGCCTACTTGTGATCTCTCTCTGTGTTAAATAAATAAATAAAATCTATAAATAAATAAATAAAATGGTTAAAATGTTAAGTTTTATGTTGTATATATTTTATTGCGATTTAAAGAGATCATGCTTAGAAAACTTGGGTCTGAGTATAGATACACAAAGTTTTTTTAAAATACTATATGACTGTTGTCTTTTGAAAAATGATTTACCTTTTCTACCATAATTTAGTAGCATGTTTTCTTTCAAGTAAGAAAGAAGTGCAATAAATATAGAAAGTCAAAGAAAGGAAAGCATTTGAGGTATATTTAGGTAAAGAGAAAAAGGTTTTAAAAATAATTTTATAATTAGAAGGCATGCTAAATTTCAAGAATTTTTATATCCAATTGGATTAATCTGTCATACAATTTTTTACATTAGCAAAATGAAAAGATAAACATTTTCCAACTGGATATAAATCAGTATTCTCCACAGATCTTCTCAAGTAGGAAAATCTCTTGGCATAGTGATTTGTTTCCCCAACCCAATCCTCTCTCACGGCATGAGGAGAGTGAACACTGTGCTTTATATAACCTCTACCAGAGGTGACAAAGGGAGAACATCCTTCTTAATTGTCAGCTGAGGAATCTTTAGGAAATCAACATTCAAAATCCAGTTAAGATCGGGGCACCTGGGTGGCACAGTTGGTTAAGCATGTCACTCTTCATTTCAGCTCAGGTCATGCTCTCAGGGTCCTGGGACAGAGCCCTCCATGGGCTCACACTCAGTTTGGGCGGGGGAATCTGCTTGAAGATTCTCTCCCTCTACCCCATCCCCCTTGCGTTTTCTCTCTCTCCCTTTTTCTCCCCCTCAAATAAATAAATCTTAAAAAAAAAAAAATCAAGTACGATCAGATAAGAAAAGAAAGCCTCACCTCACTTCGAGTGACCACAATCCTGACCAGGGTGGAGTCATCTGTGCCGGCGCCTTTCATAGAATAGTAGAGCCTCTCAGCAAAGAAGGCAGGGCGGTTCAGGGCACACTGCACTGCAAGTCAAAGATACTGCACATGTGATGCCTTGACAAGGTATCCATGCTCCAGCTTCATTTATCACTTCCAGCCTGCCTTTGCTCCTTCCTTATAGTCCCCTCAGAAATCTTGATTTTTCTCAGCATTCATCCATCTTTCTAGCTGCATCAGTCAGGATACCTTTAATTCTAGAGGATTCCCTCTAGCCAATAAATCCCATGTTTTTCTCCATAGATTCAATAGCTTAGATTCTTTCCATTGTTTTTTCCCCTTCAAGGGAGAAAATCTGTGACAATGGTGCCCTGGTAAATATCTTACTTAAAAGAAATAATGACTGAAATCTGAATTCTAGACATCAAATAAATCGTTTGGCTGACAGAAGGACAGGAGATACGTTCCAGTATGAAAAACAGATCTGTGGGGCGCCTGGGTGGCTCAGTGGGTTAAAGCCTCTGCCTTCAGCTCAGGTCATGATCCCAGGGTGCTGGGATCAAGCCCCGCTTTGGGCTCTCTGCTCAGCGGGGAGCCTGCTTCCCCCCTCTCTCTGCCTGTCTCTCTGCCTACTTGTGATATCTGTCAAATAAATAAATAATCTTTAAAAAAATAAAATAAAAGACAGATTTGAGTCGGGGCACCTGGGTGGCTCAGTGGGTTAAAGCCTCTGCCTTCGGCTCAGGTCATGATCTCAGGGTCCTGGGATCGAGTCCCGCGTTGGGCTCTCTGCTCAGCAGGGAGCCTGCTCCCCCCTGCCTCTGCCTGCCTCTCTACTTGTGATCTCTGTCAAATAAATAAATAAATAAATTTTTTAAGATTATTTATTTATTTATTTGAGAGAGAGAGAGAGAGAGAGGTCACAAGTAGGCAGAGAGGCAGGCAGAGAGAGAGAGAGAGAGAGAGGGGGAAGCAGGCTCCCTGCTGAGCAGAGAGCCCAACGCGGGACTCGATCCCAGGACCCTGAGATCATGACCTGAGCCGAAGGCAGAGGCTTTAACCCACTGAGCCACCCAGGCTCCCTAAATAAATAAAATCTTAAAAAAAAAAAAAAACAAAACAAACAAACAAAAAAAACAGATTTGAGTCAAAATTTGAGAATGATAATAAGTCTGACATTTTCTCTTAGGAAAATTAACTTAGCAAAATCTCTTCCTGCAGACAGTAGAAATATACTAACTTTACATGACTGCTTTACCTACAATTACTACAGTACTATTTTTAGGACACTCAATTGTTAATACCAATGTGTTAATAACACTCTCTTTAGTCATATATTCTCCATGAGAATTAAATTTCCATTTCATTGGACATCTCAAAGAACACCAGAAAGTTTTTGTTTTTTATTATTATTTCAAAAGGGAAAGGGGTCTCATTGTATTCTATCTGAAAGGTGTTTTTTTGAGGGGCACCTGGCTGGCTCAGTCAGTGGACTGTGTGACTCTTCATCTTAGAATTGTGAGTTCAAAGCCCATGTTGGGTGGAGAGATTATAAATAAACTTTTTTTAAAAAGGTGTTTTGGGGGGCACCTGGGTGATTCAGCTAAGTGTCTGCCTTCAACTCAGGTCATGATCTCAGGGTCCTGGGATTGAGCCCTGCATCGGGCTCCCTGCTCAGCAGGCAGTCTGCCTCTCTCTCTCTCTACCTCCCTCCCTTCCACCCACCTCCGCTCATGCTCTGTCTCTCAAATAAATAAATAAAATCTTTAAAAAAAAAAACACACAACATTTTTTAGGGAGCTCAAAATGAGGCTTTGTGTGGTCACACTTGTAGTTCCTTAAGGCTTTCCCATTCACTTCAATGGAAACGCTACACCTACTGTAATTCTTGCTCAGTCTTCATGAAAGGCATATAGAATGAAGACCAAATAATTCCAAATAACCCTTTCTGATCACACCATCACCATTCATAGGGAACTACATATATAAAACATAGGACTGGCTCAGCCTCTGCCTAAGCAGATTCCCAGGAGGCTATATTAATTTCATCACTTAATGGAAACAACTATTCAAAGCTTTTTCATCTACAAACAAAACAAAGCAAAACATAAAAGTATCTTACAGATGGTCTTTAAACCACTTTCAACATTTCCAGAAAATTCACGGGCAACACTACTTAGCAAATCTCGATTAGCCACCTGCAAACAAGAAGTACAGGGGTTAAAATATTTTCACAACCTAAAACTCAAGCCAAATCTTCAAAAGAAAAGCTCATACCCTGGAATAAGCCTCCACAGTAGCTTTCAGTTGAGGAAAGCTTCTTGTGGCGAGAATCATGTTAAAGCAGGATTCATCTGTCCCTAATCTTCCCTCACCAGCTTGATAGAGACGCTGAGCATCTTCCTGAGCCAACTGGTGGTTAACGTTCTGGTTCTCATCACGATTTCCCTGCAAGAGAGGAAGGCAAGAATTGGAAAACATGATACAAGTTCTACTGAAAATTTTTTTTAACAATATAATCACTTTTGGGGGCGCCTGGGTGGCTCAATGGGTTAAGTCTCTGCCTTCGGTTCAGGTCATGATCTCAGGGCCCTGGGATCAAGCCCCACATTGGGCTCTCTGCTCAGCAGGGAGCCTGCTTTCCCCTTTCTTTCTGCCTGCCTCTCTGCCTACTTGTGATCTCTGTCAAATAAATAAATAAACTCTTTTAAAAAATCTAGTCACTTTTGGACTTAAAGGACAATTTATTGAAGATCAATGCATAAAAGTTTGTCATGTATATCTTCATTCCCAATGTCATGTATATCTTCACCCCCCCCCCAAAAAAAAAAAAAAAAGGAAAACATCTCTAGGGGCAACTGGGTGGCTCAGTGGGTTAAAGCCTCTGCCTTCCGCTCAGGTCAGGATCCTGAGGTCCTGGGATCGAGCCCCACATCGGGCTCAGCAGGGAGCCTGCTTCCTCCTCTCTCTCTGCCTGCTTCTCTGCCTACTTGCGATCTCCGTCTGTCAAATAAATAAATATTAAAAACAAAAAAACCTAATTAAAAAAAAAAGAAAAATATCTCTACTAGGAGATATAAACTACCACTCAAGTGAAGAAATTATAATTTTCCTTAGCTGAGATTTAAGATCAATATGTGTTATACTGAGTTCCAGTTTGCTTTCATTCATGCAGCTAAAAGCTAAAGAGCACTTGTTTTGTGTGAGGCTCTGTTAGGGTTCTCCAGAGAAAGTGAACAACAGGATGTGCTAGGTGGTAGGGACACAAGAAAGACAAGGTCCCTGCTCTCAAGAATTTAAGTCAAGGGAGGGAATATATAATATGGAGGCTTCGTGAACCTCCTTTCCTTCAGCCAAGTGTAATGATACATCATGTAAATTCTGACTGTATACATACAAGGGACACACGAACTTTTTAGAAGAAGCTATAAATAACTCAAGTTCTGCTAGACTGTGCCAATCTGTATACCAAACTCTTCCCTGAGAAGAGGAAGGAGAGAGCTGGAAAGGGAGCTCTGGGTCTGAGCAAGAGCTAAGCTTAGATGGGCATTTGGTTTCTCTCAAAAATAGAAACACAAATCCAAAAGAAGGAAAGGCTGCCCTCTAGAGTCTCCATGCCTGTCTGTGGAACAAAATAGAGAGAGGTGTTCCTGAAGGTGAGATGCTGTATCCGTAAGACCACTGGGCACAAGGTGAGATGCTGTATCCGTAAGACCACTGGGCACAAGACCACAAGAATATACAGAAGCATATTCTAAAAGGGAGACTATAGATAGCACATGAAAGAAGTTCAGGAAAAACTCTCCAGATGACTGCCTTTGGACTCAAACACAGAACACCAATCTCATTTTCCTGGGAAGCCTTTCCTCTGCTCACTCCCTGAAAGAGGTCCCTTTACTCCATAAAGTAGCCAGGCTTTGAAATCTGCATAAAGAAACTCAGCACCTCATATAAAGTCTTAATAATCACTTAATAATACTAAAAAATGAGTGTTAAGTCTCTATTCCTGCTTTTGTCTTCTTCTTGTGTTTCTTCTTGTCGTTTTTAAATGCCAATCTACTCTCCTACTGTTATTCCATCATAGGTAAATTCAATTTCTTCCCAACCATTTGCTTTCTTTTCTCATGTCCACATCCACTGACTCTGGTGCACTGTTTCCTGCCACGATCTCCCTTTGCTCTGAAGAGCATGTCGTCTACTCTCAGATCTCTCGGGACTGTCCAACCTTGTATACTAGAAGGAAAGCCACTGACTCCTGATACTGAATCAGTTTGCTGGTCTTCTGCATCATTTCTTTCAAATAAACCTTGATCATCTCATCTATAAGTATGTTTAATATCATTCCAAATACTCTATTTGGAGAATTTTCTGTCACTTCTCCAGCACATCTGGGAAATCAGAATAAGGAAGGTGCTCATCACCACATTGCTGTGAAGTCCGAGAAATGTTTCTGCATTTCTGGCTCTCCTCACAGTTTTCACTCCCTCTAGCACTTTCGTGACGGTCCTGCATATTTTCGGTTGATGGTCCAATCTAACTGACACAATGCTAAGCTTAAAGTACAAAATTTCATCCCCAGCCTAAAATACAGAGCCTCAAGTTGATTTCTGATTCCATATAACTTTAAAGAAGTTTATTTCTTTTCTTTTTATTTTATTTTATTTATTTATTTGACCCAGAAAGAAATCACAAGTAGGCAGAGAGGCAGGCAGAGAAAGAGGGGGAAGCAGGCTCTCCACCAAGCAGAGAGCCCGATGCAGGACTCGATCCTAGGATGTTGAGATCATGACCTGAGCCGAAGGCAGAGGCTCAACCCAGTGAGCCACCCAGGCACCCTAAAGAAGTTAACTTCTAACCCCTTACAAAAGCCAGATCTGCAGAAATAAATCTCAATTGTGACTACAAAGAAATTTGTATATTGGATTCTGTGTTGCCCCTCGTAACGATGGCAAGATTCCAAGTGAGTTAAATACTAAAAGTAATAAGGAATGCTCACTGGTCATAGAAAGTGAAGAATGTTCCCTCTATCAACATACATTCATGGTATACTCACCTGGCACATGGATACCAGTAAACGTTCAAAATGCCCGGATGTATCTGACCTAATATCCTTTTCAAGGTCTTGTCCAAATTCTGACTGATAACATCTGACAATTTCTCGGATTTCCTGATTTGTTCTCGTGCACAAAATTTCAATCAATACACGTTCCTGAGTTCCTGCTCCCTGTGTGAAATGAAGAAAGGGAGAATTATACAAAAGAAAAACAAATTAAAAAAAAAAAAAAGAAGGGAAAAAAAAAACTGCTGTAAGTAATTAAATCTTACTATTCCATCGAATACTTCTTTGGCCTCCAGACCTGCAAAGCTCTCTCTATATTCAGATGATATGATATAATGTATTGATTTAGCTGTCACTATAAATTCAAAACTGCCGTAATTTGTGGGGTTTTACATTTGAAATAGGATAAAATATACAAAGTAAATGACACACAGTACCTTCATTGCATTCCGTAAACTCCAGGCATCGTAATATGTAGGTGGCATGAATAGGGCAAGGATCAGTTCTTCCATATTTCCACTTAACTCTGATTTAAGGTCTTTGATTAAATCCTGTTTAATTACAAATACAAACTAAGTATGTGTGTTCTCCACATTTTACTGCCTACATTTTTTTAAGAAAAATATGGAAAATGGAATTGAGTTGCTTTATGAAAGCCTAAAATATCAAATTTGAATAGTATATACTAAAAACAAGTAAATATATACATTTAGTGTTTGTTACACTCACGCAAATTAATTTTTCATTAATTAACTTTTTAAAAGTTTTATTTATTTATTTGACAGACAGTGAAAGAAGGAACACAAGCAGGGGCAGTAGGTGAAGGAGAAGCAGGCTCCTGGCTGAGCAGGGAGCCTGACGCTGGGCTTGATCCCAGGACGCTGGGAAGATGACCTGAGCCGAAGGCAGGCGCTTAACGACAGAGCCACCCAGGCACCCCTATTTTTTAATTTAAAATCAATTAATTAGCATAGTGTATTATTAGTTTCAGAAGTAGAGTTTAGTGATTCATCAGTTGCATACAACACCCAGTACTCATTACATCAAGCGCCCTTTTTGATGTCGTCCATCACCCAGTTACCCCATTCCCCCATCCCCTCCCTTCCAGCAACCCTCAGTTTGTTTCCTATAGTTAAGAGTCGCTTATGATGGTTTGTCTCCCTCTCTGATTTTACCTTATTTTTCCTTCCCTTATGCTCATCTGTGTTGTTTTTTAAATCCCACAAGTGAGTGAAATCATATGGTATTTATCATTCTCTGACTGCCTTTGGCTTAGGTCATGGTCTCAGGGTCCTGGGATCGAGCCCCACATCGAGCTCTCAGCTCAGCAGGGAGACTGCCTCCCCCTCTCTCTCTGCCTGCCTCTCTGCCTACTTGTGATCTCTATCTGTCAAATAAATAAAATCTTTTAAATTAATTAATTAATCAATTTTTTTAAAAAACCAGGAAGCCAAGAGAAAAGGTGGCTGGGCGCAAAACAAACAAACAACAAAAACAAAACACCAAAAACAAACACAGGCTGTGAATTTAGTTTTAATTCAAAACTGATATAGAAGAAAATTCAGGACAGCACAGCATAGGGTATATATTAACTAAAGAGATTCATAACAAGGAAAATAATTATGTTAGTGAAGTGAATCTGATGTGGAACTGTAAGGAAATCTATAGTTTGTGTCACTTAATCAGCTTTAAGACTAAAGAAGTGGACCTGGGCCAGGCAGAGAGAGTAAGGCAGAGTAGAATAGGTGAAGTGGGACAAACCAATGAACCTCTATTCCCATTCTGACAAACCAATGAACCTCTATTCCCATTCCCATTTACAAAAGTAAACCGGATCCAGAGAATGTTAGGAAATTTTAGGACTTCTATCTAAATGGAAAAATAATGCTATCCAGCTTTCCCCTTCATATCTCAGAAGCAATAGCGCTTTTTAGACCTAGAATCTTGCTGGATTTTGTCACTGACCATCCATTCAGGAAATATTTATTAAGTGGCTATTTGTTACTACTCCTGTATTTGGTGCTGCAAATGCCCAGATGAAGAGGACATGGTTTGTCTGAGGGGAGCTCACTGCTGCAGGGAGTAGGCAAGGAGATCAGTTATGGCAGAGGTTTTACAAAATGCGACTGTACCACCGTGAAAATGGCAGCAAACCTCTCCCCTGAGAAAGGAGAGAAACTTCACAGAGTAGCTGATGCAAGCTAAATCCTAAAGAAGGTGCTTGCCATGAAGAAGAAAAAAAGAGGAAGTGTTGTTCTAGGCCTAGAGAACAATGTATACGAAGCACAGTGTTATGAAAGACCAGGATGTGTGCAGGGAATGACAAAAAGTTGCATGCATCCTAATACAGGGTATGTTTAGAGGGAGGGAGAGGAGTGGAAGAGGATGCCAAACACCAAGAAAAAGCAGGGGCTGTATAAAAAGTCCTTGAATCCCACTGTAAAGAGAAGGCTGAGAACCAAACTTTTTCTATTATGCTATTTATCTATCTACCTATTTTATATATAAATTTATCTACTATCAGTTATGCTATTATGGCCATAATCTACTTTCTACTGAGCATCTATCATATATCAGACATCATCTGAGGTACAAGTAGGACTATGAGATCAAGGACTACTCCAAAATTAGAAAGGCTTTTAAGAGAAACAGTGAACACACCACTCCTGGGGTATCTGAAATCTAGTCGTCTCTACTACGCACCACCAGCACTAATAAAGATAGTATCCAACCCAACATAAATGTAAAGTCTACAGGCCACTGTCTGTGGCCAGAAAAGAAAAAAAATGTATGTACCTTGCCATACATGGTCTTAAAAGCTGCTTTAATTTTTTGCCTCTGATCGCTGGAACGGTTGGCCACAACGTCCACAATTGCCTGCTCGTCTGTCCCTGAAAGAACCATACATGTTTAAGTAAGGATGAATTCTGTCCTGGGTATTCCTTGACAACATCTCTTGACGCTTACAAGGTGCCTGGTGCCAGACTACACGGAGTCATGTGCACAGGTGGACACATAAATTTGATTTGTAATATAGCTTATTTGTACTTTAGATTCAATCAATCAAAATTATAAATAAGATTAAAAACCTGCTTTCCTTACCAAAACCTTTCATTGCTTTACGAAGAATTTCTGCATCTCTCATGGCATCAAAGTTGGCAGCTGGTCGGACTGTTCCTTGAGTTCCCTGAGTCATTGCAGCAGGCTGAAACACAAGGCACAAAATCCAACTCCATTATTGTGCTAATCATTTCATAATATAAAAATACATCGGGGCACCTGGATGGCTCAGTCGGTTAAGTGCCTGCCTTCAGCTCACGTCAGGATCCTGGAGTCCCAGAACTGAGCCCCAAATCCGGCGCCCTGATCGGTGGGGAGTCTGCTTCTCCCTCTCCCTCTGCCTCTCCCCCTCCTCCAGCTCACTTTCTCTTGCACTCTCTCAAATAAATAACATTTTAAAATAAATAAAAAAAATAAAAATAGATCAAATCAAATCATCATATTGTACACCCAAAACTAATACAATGTTACAGGTCACTCCTATCTCAATAAAATTGGGGAAAAAAGAAACATGAAAAAATACTCAACATCTTTAGTAAAAGAAATATAAATTAAAAAAAAAAAATTCAGGACTCTGCTGTCAAGAAGACAACTTAAGACTTCCCCAGTCAACACTCTTAGTCAAGGAGGCCATGTTTAAGTTTTAGGACAAAGGATAGGAGTATTTTATTATGAAGGCTCATTCTGGAGCAGGCATGAAAGACCTATTCTCTTCCTGCCAAAAGACAGCTAACTGCCAAACTTTTAGGAGAGAAGAAAGTCAAGCTTGTGAAAATTGCCAAAATCTTCCTGAGTCTTGATTTTATTTAGTAGAACAAGAGGAAAAAAGAGATCGATCCCTGGATAGTGTGAGATGAGCAGCAGTGTTTGATTTAAAGACAATAATATAATAAGGGTTTTAATTAAGTAGACCTTGTGCTGCCCAATGAGGTTTTGGACAAGCAATATAATTTTTTTTAAAGATTTACTTGAGAGCACACAAGCAAGAGGGAGGGATAGAGGGAGAAGCTGATTCCCCGCTGAGGAGGTAACCCGATGCAGGGCTCAATCCCAGCACACTGAGATCATGATGAGCTGAAGGCAGACACTTAACTGACCAAGCCACCCAGGTGCCCCCAGGCAATAAAAGTTTGACAGTATCTCCGATTTCTTCTACAGGCCCTCATTATCAAAGACGAAATAAAATGTTTTATAATAAGAAAGCACAAAATGAAAGGAACAATGATCGGAGATTCTGGGAGGCAGAATATTCTTCATTGATGACATAGGAAATAAACCAGAAAGCAAAATAGGGACTGTATTTTAAAAATACAAATCAATGGGGAAATTTAAAAATCATTATAACAAATGTCATGGTAGTAACTGCTTCCGGAGAGAATCATCAATGGATGCTAAAATTATTAAAAGTATGATGCAAACCAAGGTATTTGCATAGTTTGTAACAGTATAGTAGAAAACCTGGCAAATCCAAGTGATCAAAATCAATCATTTCCAATAACAGAATAAGCCTCCTGATATATAATGCACTGGGGATCCAAGATCATTTCTGTGATATTCCCTCCAAAATGGCAAAACCTGGGGCGCCTGGGTGGCTCAATGGGTTAAAGCCTCTGCCTTCAGCTCAGGTCATGATCCCAGGGTCCTGGGATCAAGCCCTGCATCGGGCTCTCTGCTCAGCAGGGAGCCTGCTTCCCTTCCTCTCTCTCTGGCTGCCTCTCTGCCTACCTGCGATCTCTGTCTGTCAAATAAATAAATAAAATCTTTAAAAAAAAAAAAAAACCCAAAATGGCAAAACCTAACCTTAGTCATGAGAAAGTATGAGACAAACCCAAACCAAGGATTTTTCTACAAAATAACTGGTAGAAGTAGTAGCACTCTTTAAAAGTGTGAAGGTCATGAACAATAAAAACTGAAGAATTGTGTCACATTAAAGGAATCTTAAGGGGCACCGAAGTAGCTCAGTGGGTTAAGCCTCTGCCTTCGGCTCAGGTCATGATCCCAGGGTCCTGGGATCGAGCCCTGCATCGGGTTCTCTGCTCAGCAGGAAGCCTGCTTCCCCTTCTCTCTCTGCCTGCTGCTCACCTACTTGTGATCTCTCTCTGTCAAATAAATAAAATCTTTTAAAAAATAAAAAAAAGGAAACTTAAAAGGGGTGCCTGGCTGGTTCAGTCAGTAGAACATGTGACTCTTGATCTCAGGGTCATGAGTTTGAGACCCATGTGGGGCAGAGAGACTACTAAAAAATAATAAAATAAAAATGGCGGGGGGGGGAGAAGGAAACTTAATAGACATGGCAATAAATGCAATGTTTCATACTGGATTTGATCCAGAACCAGAAAAGGAGGGCATTATTGGGACAACTGGTAAAACCTGAATAAGGTCTATAAGCTGGGTTACATTATTATATCATTGTTATTTCCTGATTTTGATCACTGTGTTGTGTTTATGTAGGAAGTTAATATTGGAAGATCTGGGTAAAGGGTATACAGGAATTCTATGTACAATTTTTTAAAAATTTGTCAGAGAGAGCAAATGAGCACAAGCAAGAGAAGCTGCAGGCAGAGGCAGAACCAAGCTCCCCACTGTGCAAGGAGCTCGACCTGGGACTCGATCCCAGGACCCCAGGATCACGAACTGAGCCGAAGGCAGACACCCAATCAACTGAGCCACCCAGGCATCCCTACAGTTTTTTGTTGGAAGATTTTATTTATTTATCTGACACACACACACAGAGAGAATGAACACAAGCAGGAGAGCAGCAGGCAGAGGGAGAGGGAAAAGCGGCTCCCGGGGGAGCAGGAAGCCCAAAGCAGGGCTTGATCCCAGGACTCTGGGATCATGACCTGAGCTAAAGGCAGACACTTAGCTGACTGAGCTACCCAGAATCCCCCTATATACAATCTTTATAACTTTTTTTTAAGTCTGAAATTATTTGAAAATTTAAAAATACACAGCTAGGAAACAATTCAATAGTTTTCTTAAACTATTCAAATCAGGGCCTAAGAGAGATGGGATGAAGTGAGATGATATCCCACCACAGTTTCTTAAAACTGAATTTTTTTTTTAAAGATTTTATTTATTTATTTGACAGAGATCACAAGTAGGCAGAGAGGCAGGCAGAGAGAGAGGGGGAAGCAGACTCCCCACTGAGCAGAGAGCCCAATGCGGGGCTCAATCCCAGGACCCTGGGATCATGACCTGAGCCGAAGGCAGAGGCTTTAACCCACTGAGTCACCCAGGTGCCCCAAAACTGAATTTTAATAATATATTTTATTCAACTCTTTATCTCTAAAATGTAATTTAAAGATGTATTCAACATGACTGCAAAATGTAAAATGACTCAATTGCTTTTTAGGCAACTGAAACTGCATTTAAATTTATACTCACTAAATACAGCAATATGCCAGCAACTACAGGATCGAAGTAAAAGGGGATAAAGGGAACAAACCATCTTTTAGCAAACATCTGTAGGGTCAATAATTTCTCACACTTACCTATATTCTCAAACAAACATTTTTTTCTAACAACCATCCTGTACTCTGAAGTTTCTAAGCCAGGAATATAAGCAAAGAACTAACAAATACTTGTATAGTGGTTTTAAGAAAAAACTGAAACCATTATCAACTCCAAATATTCAAGTATAAATTTTTTTTTCCAACACAAGCCTTTACATGAGTCTAAGCAAGTTTCCTTTGATGTAACCACCTTCATTAAAACCCAAGTAGGGCAAAAAGCCTTTGTTTATAATACACTGGACTAGGCAGTAAGAGAAACTAACCCTCAACATGTACTATTTGATGAGTCTCATTTTCTGTTATCCTCTTCTTTCTCAAAAAACAAACAAAAACTGGGATGTCTGGGTGAACAGTCGGTTAAGCATCTGACTCTTGGTTTCGGCTCAGATGGTGATCGCAGTGTCGTGAAAGCAAGCACAGAGTCCACTTGATTTTCTCTCTCCCTCTCCCTCTGCCCCTACCCCTGCACTGTGGGGGCTCTCTCTCTCAAATGGGTGCCTGGGTGGTGTAGAGGTTTGGCGCAGGTTTGGCTCAGGTCATGATCTTGGGGTCATAAGATCAAGCCCCAGGTCAAGCTCCCCACATAGCATGCAATCCGCTTAATACTCTCTGCCACTCCCCACCACATGTGCATGTGTGCATGTGCTCTTTAAAAATCAATCAATCAATCAATCTTAAAAAAAATAAATTTGGGGGCATCTGGGTGGCTTAGTTGTTAAGCACCTGCCTTCAGCTCAGATCATAATGCCAGGGTCCTGGGATCAAGCCCCAGTCAGGTTCCCTGCTCGGTGGGAAGCCTGCTTCTCCCTCTGCCACTCCCCCTGCTTGTGTTCCTGCTCTCACTGTCTGTCAAATAAATAAATAAAATCTTTTAACACATAAATAAATAAAATCCTTTAAAAAAACTACTCCATTTTTCATCTGTAGGAAAAAAAGGAATTGTCTTATTCTATGTTAAAAGTCTACATTTGAAGTGAATCCTCATCAAAAATACTATCCTTCAGCCATTACACTGAATTAAAGGAAATCAGGGTCTATGTTCTAGAGGTCAAAACTCAAACCAGGGAAAATTTCACAGCACAGCAAAGCCCACACTATCTGCCACCAAAAATTCCACCCTTCAACATTCATTTGATGCCAACCTTCCTACTGAAAAACAAAATTTGGGTCAATCAGGAAAGGTCACCTGACCCAAATGCCCAACCAAGACAGAAATTTTCATCTTCCTAAACACACACACACCCTCTACAGGAGGACTTTCGGTGACAGGGAGCTCTCCTCACAAGGTAGCCTGCTCCACTTCCATGTAAAAGATCTTCCAAAATCTACCACTCAGTAAACTTCCACCTACTGGTTTTAGTTCTCTCTTAAGGTAATAATTGTTACACAGGAGTTGCACGTGTACGTGTGTTTCATTTTTAGTGTCTTATGTTTGAAGATCTTTTATATTCAGTCATAAAATGTTTCTAAAATTATGAGCATGCTTAAGCTAAAATAAAATTAAAATTCTCATACATTACTAAAAGTTATAGATTTATAATAGATCTAAAGTTTTATAAATAAGTAGTTATTTATTTATATGTATAGATAAATATAAAGTTATAGATTTATGATTAATGATCAACTTCAATTAAAAAAGGATCAAAAAAAGATTAAAAAAGGATCAAAAGCAATTCTCTATGTGCTTTGGAGGAACATCATTTACAGTATCAGCCAACAGCACTGTGTAACAGGGAGACCACTGGTCTGAGAGTCAGAAGAGCTAGATCTAGTCTTAGCTTTGTCTTTCACTAGCTGTGTGGCTCTGGACAAGTTTCTTAATCTCTCTGGAGCTCAAATACCTTAAATCAAGAAAGTAAACCAGAAAACAGCTAACATGTTTCACTTCTAACACTGTAACCCCCCTCCCAGCCCAGCTTTAAAAAAGCTTGAAAATGATAGATCTTTATGAATAAATAGTACGTTAATAAATAAGAAAATCAAGATAAAGAGAAGCATAAAAGTATACTGCTTGTGTTCCTGGTAACTTGCATAGGATATAAAAGAATTAACAAGGCAATTAAAAACTAAACAGTATTGGGGCGCCTGGGTGGCTCAGTGGGTTAAAGCCTCTGCCTTCGGCTCAGGTCATGGTCTCAGGGTCCTGGGATCAAGCCCCGCATCGGGCTCTCTGCACAGCAGGGAGCCTGCTTCCCCTTCTCTCTCTGCCTGCCTCTCTGCCTACTTGTGATCTCTGTCTGTCAAATAAATAAATAAATCTTTAAAAAAAAAAAAAAACTAAACAGTATTAAAATAAAGGGCTATACAGAGATGGGGCAAAAATTTGATACATGGGAGACCTCCCAGGACTATTGAGGAATCAATTCAACAAACATTAATTGGCTACGATGGTTAAAGCCTTGTCAAGCACTACAAGGACAAAATGATAAATCAGATATAGTTGAGTCCTCAAGGAAGTTGTGAGAGACAAATACATGAGAAATCAGAAAGTAATGAAGGCACATACAGGATACCTAGTAATTAGTGAACATTAGAAAACCTTACTCACTTCACTGTTATAATCCAAAGAAACAGGAGAGAAAACAGGATAGGAAGGAAAGGATTCTGTATTGATCTGAAAAAAGAGTAGAACATTATGAGGGTAAAAAGAGAAAACAAATCCACACTTTCTCAAACACTGCCAGAAATACCAATTACTCAGTCACGCAAGTTCATAGTTTTAACTGTCAGCAAGGGGAGAAGAAAAAGAAAACCAATACCAAGAACCCAAGTGAATCTCTATGGAAAAGTTATGAGTATCATCACCTGTGGGAAGAGACCTATGCTTGTCTTCTTAAAATCAGGACACACAGCAAAAGATGGACCAAAGCGAGCAATGTGTCTACCAGAGCAAAGATTAGAATCTTAAGTGACTATAATAAACCATCTCCTTTGCTTCTTGGAAATCTCTAATGTCAGCAAAGGAGTGGTGCCCTTCTTTGGCATTATCCAATTAAATTGGATGAAATATAAAGACAGGAGCAGAAATACCTGACTTGGGTAAGGAGCTTGTCCTCCAGGATACTGAGAAGGCATCTGTCCTCCAGGAAAGCCACCTACACATTAAAAAAAAAAAATACAATAAACAGGTCTTAAAGGACTTAATTTTTCAAAACGGCATTGACTACTATGAATATGGAAAAGATATGAGAACATTCACACCATGTTAATTACTAGGATAAACTTTTTATTTTTTTAAGATTCATTTATTTATTTGACAGAGCGACACAGTGAGAGGGAACACAAGCAGGGGGAGCAGTAAAGGGAGAAGCAGGCTCCCCACTGAGCAGGGAGCCTGATGCAGGGCTCAATCCCAGGACCCCAGGATCATGACCAGAGCCCAAGGCAGATGCTTAACGACTGAGCCACGCAGGCACCCCAGGATAAACTTTTTAATACTACAGTTCACTGAACTGAAAACCAACTTTGGTGGGGTGCCTGGGTTTAGTGATTGCCTTTGGCTCAAGTCATGATCCCAGGGTCCTGGGATTGAGCCCCACATCTGGCTCCCCTGCTCAGAGAGGAGCCTTTTTCTCTCCTTCCACCTGCTAGCGCTATATCAAATAAATAAAAATTCTAAAAAAAAACAGAAAGAATATCAACTTTGGTCATAAGAACCTTTTAAAATATTTCATGTTCTACACAATTTAACAAATAATCCTTTTTTTTTTTTCTTTAAACACTCAAAGCAAACTAAATTCTGATTCCATCTGGAAAGAATGTCAGGACATAGTTCTGAGAGTTTAGGAGTGGTATAGGAGTGAGCAGAGAAGCTTCTAAATGTTTTGCTTTTTTGGTTTTGGAACAGATATTTTGTAATTGAAAAAGTGGGTACTTATTTCCATCTTATTGATTAAAATTTTCCAACAAATTAGCCCATTTCACAAAACCATGTATTTAAAATTATTTATAGAAGTACTTAGAATAAAGTTTACTGAAGACTATCCCAAACATAAACTAAGTTCTCTCAATGGCAACTGTAAGATTTAAGACAGCATACTATTGTTTATCTCTGGATAGTTGGTACCTACCAGGTAGTGGGACCTGTGCTGGGCTGCCACCATAAGAATGTGAGGGTGGCTGTGGATAGCCAGAAAAGCCTGCTCCACCTGGTGGGGCACCAAACCCTTGACCTGGAGGAACTAGAAAAAAATAAATATAGTGACAGTTCTTATGATTGAAGAGTCAACTTTCGGAAAATATCTACTAAGAACAGTGGGAAAAAATAGGCTATTAATGCTATAACAGCAGTCTCTTCTGGTCTAAATTCAACTTATCAATTCCTTCTCCATTACAAAATTTTTATTTCATTCATCTGCGTAAATAACTATAATACAGAAGTGCTAAGCGTTTTTACCTTTTAACAAAACTGTCTTAAGGATCACAATCATGCTAACTGAACTGAACTTAATCAGTTCTTAAGATTATAAATAATCAACATGATGCCTTGGTAGCTCAGTCAGTTAAGTGTCTGCCTTCAACTCAGGTCTTGATCCTGGGGTCCTGGGATCAAGTCCCACACTGGGCTCCTTGTTCAGCAAGGAGTCTGCTTCTCCTTCTGCCTGCCGCTCCCCCTGCTTGTTCTCTCAATCTCTCTCTCCGACAAATAAATAAATAAAATCTTTAAAAAAAAATAACCAAACAAACTGTTATATACTGGTCCTTTTTTTTACCATGAGATTTATCCTTTTTTCACAACAGAATTTTTAAGACCGTTTCCAGCTTTCATACTCCCTAAGAACCTTTATCCCTCTATCTTGCCAGCTAGGTTCTTACTGTCTTCGATAGAAAGTAGGCTAAGAGCATCTCTGACCCCATGAAAAAAAGGCAACCCAAATCATCACTAATGCCACAACCCATTACTCACCTCCTGGATAGGATGGAGCGCCCCCTGGTGGTGGCGCACCAGGATAACCTCCCGGGGCTGGATAACCTCCAGGGGCTGGGTAGCCTCCAGCTCCAGGGTAGCCACTACTTGGGGCTGGGGGGTAGGCACCTCCTCCCACTGGAGGAAAGCCACTAGGATAAGGATACTGACCCGGAGGGGGAAAAGATGACTCCTGACCTGCAGGCTGCAAAAATAAGAAAATTTTTCAAATGAATGTGATCACACAAAAATATGACCCACCTAAAAAAAAAGAAACAGCAGTAATTGTTAAGGTCTAGATTTTCTTTTACATCTTAAAAATCCCACTAAAAGTCTCAGTATCTTCTACTAGTTTACCAGTATACAGTTTGTCAGGACACTTGCTTGTCAGAACTCAGTTACATCTTATTTAAATTCAGTGTCAGGCAAGAGGGGCCTGTTTCTCTATTGGGGAGTAAGAACTAGACTCTCTACAAACCTCAAGGCTTCCAGAGAAACTAATAAAGCTCATCAGTTTCTTTATTTTTCTAGCACCTGGAAATATGAGAAAGATACAGCTCTCTACCCTAAAGAGAATTCACAGCTATCTTGTAACACACCTGAACCTGCTGCATAATAGAAAAAAAAAAAAAAAGAAGAAGAAGAAAACTGACCTGAGTCATACATAGGGTGTGACATTTTGGAGCCCAGTTCAGACTAGACATTGTCTGAGAGTGGCTGAGACTGTCACATATTCACCGAACTTTCTCCTCTGGCCATAAAGCTAGACTACGTTTCCCAGACTCCCCTGCAGTTAGGTAGAATATGACTGAGTATTGATGCATGAGCAGATACAGAAGTGATATACACCACTTCCAGCCTGGCCCCTAAAAACCTGTGCAATCCTCTATATGCTCTCATCCCCTTTCCCTTCATTGGCCAAATGGAAGCATAGAATCCAGGGGAGGACTCTATGGCACTAGAGGATGGAAGAGCCAGTGTGTGGAAGGGGCCTGGGAACTTGAGAGACTACATAGACTAAAGCCTCCTTGATTCCTCCCACCCTCCCACCTTCCACCTTCCCACCACTGATTTCTAGGAACTAAAGTAGTAAGAAATGAGTTTTTATTGTGTAAAGTCACTTAGAGGTTGGGGTTGTCGTTTCAGAAATTAGCCCACACTGACAAAATGGTGGCCAGAGTCCGGTTCAGGATATAGGGGCCTGGGAACATAGTCATAATTCTCATCACTTCTATGATAAATTCAGAAGAGCTATTTATTCATTTTACATAAGGACTCACACATTCTCATTAACCTGCATAGGCCTCTCTTTGTATTCTCCCAGAGTTAGAAAGAAGCCTTACACAGTTAGGGAGTATAAAATTGAAATGCATAATTCTCACTTAAATGTCTCAGCTGTGAGTTTAGTCCACAGTTCAGACATCAACAAGGCAGAACCTAGTAGCACATTTATGAAATGAACTTCAAATACTCAGTCTCAGAAATACAAATCCAGGGACCTTTAATCTACTGCAATTTGCTGAGTCAAGCCCTTCTTAATTATTTTAAATCTTCTAACACAAAGGTTAAAAACCAGTGACTCATGGGATGGATTTAACTTACATATATGTGTTATTGGCTCATACAACATTTAACTTTTAAAAAAATTAATTTTCCACTTTAGAAAGATGAGGCAATTTCACATCAAATCCACATCTCAGGTTTTACTTGAAGAAATGGAGTATTAGCAACACTGAGTCAGCCTCCCACCATGGCTCAGGCTACAGCTGAGTAGCTGCTGGCTTTCCTAAGTGAGGCAAGTGGCCTCTCATTCGTCCATAATACCCACCCAACACACTTCTACTAAGTACCTCTGGGCGATTGAGATTATGACCCCTGCTCTAGCGTACCTGTAAGATCTGTCATGGGCTAGTCTTACACAGTGCTGGTTCCAAGTACACAAGCTATGTGACTCTTTAAAGTGGCAATACTTACAGGATATCCAGGGAAAGGTGGGTAGCCTGTTGGAGGATAGCCTGGGTATGACATTCTGTAACAATAAAAAAAAGTCCTCTAATTTTTTTTTATAAGGGTTAAGTCCTTTGAAGATATATATTGTCATACAGTTTTATACAAAATATATCTTCTTTCATAAGAGTCTGTCAGGCATTCAATATGTAGACAGTATAAGCAAAGTTTGTAAAATGCTTCTTCATTTCACCATTCACACCAGTAGAGTCAGTAAAGCATAGTAAATGTTCCAACTTCATTCTCCTCATACCACACAATCTGTCATATCTGAATACTACCAGTACTATTATTTGTGGAATATTTACAGAGTATCTTTTAAGCCGAATAATTTTTCACTTATATTTATTTTATGATTACTTCATATATCACTTCCATAAATGGAAAACTTATGATAGTTTCTTGAGAAGGTAACATTAAAATGAATATGTAAATATTAAAATAAAGGCTTTTTAGGTGCCAGAGATATCCCCTTATTTGGTGATGCAATATTATGTGAAACAATGGTTAAGAGTTAACATTCTGAGGGTGCTGGGTGGCTCAGTCAGTTAAGTGTCTGCCTTCGGCTCAGGTCATGGTCCCAGGGTCCTGGGATCCAGCCCCACATTGGGCTCCTTGCTCAGCGGGGAGCCTGCCTCTCCTTCTCCCACTCTCCCTGCTTGTATTCCCTCTCTCACTGTCTTTCTCTGTCAAATAAATAAATAAAATCTTTGGGGGAAAAAAAAGTTAACATTCCATAGTCACACATACCTTTTTTTAAGTTTCAAACTTAATCAAAAGTAAAGTTACTGGTATAAGAAACCCCATAGATTCAACACTCAGCTGCAGTAATTACTAATTCATGGCCAATTTTTTTTTTCAGTACTCTTCTTCATTCCCTATCACTCCACTAGATTATTCTGAAGCAAATCCCAGGCATGTTACCATTTTAACCTATACATACTTCACTATATATATCTACAAACATAACTTTTTTTAATAGGGCTGATTTTAAAATAAAACCATAATATCATCAATATGTCAGTGTTCAAATTTCTATTGTCTTTTAAGTATTTTTACTGTTTTTTTATTTTGTACTTGTTTATTTATTACGGAAAATTCAAAAATTTTAGAATACTGTTAGATTGAACTACATGGCATTACTGAAATCCTATTTTAACATAAAAAATTGTTGTGGTTCAACCTGATATAATGAAAGTTCACATAACCTTCATGTTCAGTTTCAATAATTATGAAGTCATAGTTAATTCTATTGCACTGGTACCCTTCCCTAGATTATTTTTTTTAAAGATTTTATTTATTTGAGAGAGAGCATAAGCTGGGGGTGGGGTGGGGGTACGTAGAAGGAAAGGACAAGCAGACTCCCCACTGAGCGCAGAGCCCAACATGGGTCTTGATCCCAGGACTCTGAGATCATGACCTGAGCCAAAGTCAGCCACTTAATTGACTGAGCCACCCAGATGCCCCTTCCCTAGATCATTTTAAAGCAATTCTCTAGACATCATATCCCTTTACTCATAAATATGTCAATATACTATCTGTAAAAAGAAGACTCTTTTAAGCCATAGTTATTTACCAATATTGTACCTTAAAAATTTAATTTCCTATTATCAGATGTCCACTCAGTGTTCAAATTTACCCAAATGTCTCAAAATACTTTTCACAGTTTGGTTGTTCAAATCAGTATACAAATAAGGTCCATATAGTCTAATCAGTCTCTTAAATCTCTTGTAAAAGCCTCACCTCTCCTATTTGTTTTCCGTGCAGGTTACTTGTTGAAGGAACTGACAGTTTGTCTTGAAATCTCCCTCTATCTGGATTTTGCCAATTGAATCTCCATGATAATCTTTAACAGTTATTTACTTACTACAAATTTGTAGTCAGATCTAGAAGCTTGATCAGATTACTTTTTTGGCACACATACTTAGAAAATATTGTTTTCTTCTATCAGGGAACACATAAATGATCAGCCATCTCTCTTTCTCATGGTTAATAATCAATGCCTAGATCTAATTCTATCATTTTTTTCTTCATTTACTATCTGCAATCTTTGAAAAATCTCCTTTTATCAACTCTATGATTTTCCTGAACTATAGTCCATACTGACGGGTGCCTGGGTAGCACAGTTGTTAAAGTATCTGACTCTTGATTTTAGCTCAGGTCATGATCTCCGGGTTGTGAGATCGAGCTCTGTGTTAGGCATGGAGCCTGCTTAAGATTCTTTCTCTCCCTCTCTAAAAAGAATAATGAATTCAAAGTGTTTTTCTTCAAAAGGAACTCATTCCTCTTTGGAAATGCAAACAATAACCTATTTATCTGATGATATGAAGAAATTATTACATATTTAGATGTCATATTGGTATGATTTTTGTGAAGCATCTGATCTTTTAGAGATACACACTGAATATATATAAAATGCTGTAATATCCTGGAATCACTTCAAAATAATATGAAACGGTTGGGCAGGAGTATAGATGAAACTGGATCATCACGAGTCGGTTATTTATGCTGGGTGACAAGTATGTGGGTATTCAATACACTCTTCTGTCCACTTTTGCATGTTTAAATTTTTCCATAATGAAGGATTTTTAAAAAGACAGCTCATGGGGCGCCTGGGTGGCTCAGTGGGTTAAAGCCTCTGCCTTGGGCTCAGGTCATGATCCCAGGGTCCTGGGATCAAACCCCACATGGGGCTCTCTGCTCAGCAGGGAGCCTGCTTCCTCCTCTCTCTCTGCCTGCCTCTCCGCCTACTTTCGATCTCTGCCTGTCAAATAAATAAATAAAATCTTAAAAAAAAAAAAAAAAAAGGAGGGGCTCCTGGG